ACAATATGTGAAATTTGGTCCAATTCGCTTATGCCATTTTGTATATTACTACTTAGAAAAACATAAAAATGAAACATAATTCAATCAATAATCAATTAAAGTGCTTATGGCACAGAGTAAAATAGGATTGTGGGGTTAATGTGTTTTATAAAGCCTGTTTTTGCAAAGGAAACTCACAATGACACATTTAGATGCAGAAATAGACAATTTGACTCGCTTCACTTATAATGTAATAACTCCTGTTTAGAAGCTGTTATTTGAAAGATTATTTTTTTCTGGTACTTTTTGGCATCTAGTGGCATCAAACAAAGTAAATTGCAGAGAGCTGGACCTAATAGAACCTGAATTACAGAATTTCAATTTTAATTGTTTTAAAACTCCAAAAGCGCCTATGTTTTTTTGTGTTTATTGTAATATTTGAAAAATATATAATGTTATTTATAAAGAATTACACTCATATTTTGTAGTTCAAAGGGTTTTCTTTACAATGAAACCATTTTTTTTTATTTCCTCCATTGTATGTGTGTAGGGTAAACATATGAATTTGAGTATGTCAAATTTAGGCGAAAATACCAAAAAACGCCCTGAGCATAAGTGGTTAAAAAAATGTGTGTTGACAAATAGTATAAACATACAATATAAAAACAGACATAACAGGGCAAAATGTGTTATTTTGAGAAGAATGCTATGCAAACATACTAGTTTTATATCATTTGAAACTGCTACGGCAGCGGGGAAGATGCATGGGCTTTATTTTACGGTATTTCAATATCATGTTTAGTTTTTACCTAAAACCTACATGGTTCATTCAGATGGTGATACATGACATATTCAAATGCAAGCATTGTATTGTATAACATATTATATAATATGTGCTTAAACGGCTCACAGCAGATTTAGTTCACAAACAACTGAAGGTCATGACCAAAATATGATTTTATCAAATATGATTTTTTTTTTTTTTACAATAATCAATCCTAAAATTTGGTATTAGTAGCTTCCTTTTCAAGCTGTCAGCTGCGCACACACTCAAGCTCAAAGGATCTTCTGGTTCTTGGCTAATTTTAAGTTAGACATGAAGACTCACTCTGACTGGATCATTGAATCTGTGAGTTGTTGACTCGAGAACAGCTGCTATCAGATCAGTCCAATTTGTGAATGAATTGCAATATGTGATCCGATTCAACAGGTTCATTGAAAAGAATCAGCTTGTTCACAAATCGGACATCACTGTCACATCTCAGAGCAGGTGATGATTTCTTCAGTTCAAATGAACAAGGAATGATAAGTTTTTTTTAATGAAATGTAATGTTTTGGAAAGGTTTCCACAATAAAATACTCAATTAAAAAAAAAACATACTTGAAAAATTCACTTGAAGTAAAAATACTTTCAATCCACCACTGCAAGAACATGAGCGTTATTGGCCATACTCACCCTGGCTTTGATGATGGTGGGCCGTGGGTCCAGGATCCCCTGCATCTTTCTTAATGCAGGGATAACAAAGAGGTTACAGGTTACAACAGCTGACACTGGGTTACCTGAGACAGAAAGAAGAGACGAGTGTTGAGGTGAAGACTATGGCTTACGGTTTGGGGTCGGGGTGGAGGTCTGGGGCAGAAACTCTCTGAACTGTGGATCATCTGTAGTAGATAGGAATTCAGTTTGTTTCCTGATGTCTTTAAAGCAACAGTTCACTTCCAAATGTGAATTCTGTAATTTGTTCACCCTCATGTTGTTCCAAAATTGTCCGATCTTGTGTTTTAGTGAACACAAAAGGAGACATTTAGCAGAATGTTTACGCTGCTCTTTTATATACAATTCATGTACACAGTGATCAGTGGCTATCCAGCTACAAGAACAACAAAACGCCATAAAAGCACCACAAAATTTGCCTGAAATCAAGCAACTGACAGCAATTTTAAATATTACTCGCTGAAAATCTTCCACAGATCTCAAACCTCATTCTTGTACACTACTGTTCAAAAGCTAAGTCGCTGCAAATGTTTTTTTAAGCTCACTAAAGCTGCATTTATTTGATCAAAACAGTAAAAACAGTAATAGTGTTAATAATTATTTCAATTTAAAATAACTCCAGTTTTCAGTTTTACATGATCCTTCAGAAATCATTCTAATATGCTGATTTGTAACATTCAAGTAACATTTCTTATTATCATTTATTTTCTTATTATTCTTGTTGAAATTAGTTGTGCTGCATAATACTTTTTGTGGAAACCGTGATACATTTAAGGATTCTTTGATGAATAGAAAGTTCAAAAGCGACATTTATTTGAAATAGAAATCTTTTGCAACATTATAAATGTCTTTATGGCCACTTTTGATCAATGTAATGTGTCCTTGATTAATTAAGCTACTAATTACTTTCTTTCCGTATACCTTATTATCATTACATTAAAAAATAGCAGCTTTAACATTTTGCTCAGCTTCTTCTTTTGTGTTCTATGGAAAAAGGAAAATCACACAAGGTTTGTAGCAACACAAGGGTGATTAAATAGTGACAAAATGTTCATTTCTGGGTCAACTGCCCCTTTAAGGAATCTTTTTGACATCAGAGTTCAGTTTTTCTGGTTGGTGTGTAAGTTGCACTCACACTGATTATGCAAATGTACATTTGTGTCCATGTACATTTCGAAGCCCAATAATACTAGGGATGGAATTGTACTCTGGTTCGTACCAGAGCAATCAAATAAAGTGTGAAAACAACCCAATACTCTCTGATAAGACAAATGTGAACCAACTACTGAAACCAGCTAAGAAAGAAGAGTGTATCAAATGCAGAGGTGCCCTCTACCACATCAACAGGAAGGGAAGAAGGGCATTGAAAGCAAAAGGAGGACAGCACTACATCAGACAAATAGCAGTTTCAAGACACTAAGCCACATCACGGTACACAAAACGGAAGGAATTCAGCAGGTTGCAACAGAACTAATAGCTACAAGGAGCGCAAAAAAGCAAAAACACAAGGCTTCTCTCAGAAAACAGAACAGAAAGCATCACATTGGAAAATCAGAACAAAAATATTATTCCTATGTTTCATTTCATTGTGGTTGTTACTGTAGATTAGACAAGGCCTTTTCAGATTTTTAGCTTGTAATGTCTGTAATAATTATAACATACTGGTCCCAAATGAGCCCAAGTGCACTAAAAAGAGATTTCGTGTTACATGATTTCGAAAACCAGTTTATTAGGGTTTGGTGTCAAAATTTCAAGTCCATTTCCGTTTTCTGAGCTCGGGCTGAAGACAGGGCTTATTTCCTGAATTAAGAGCACCTACTTCCTCGTGGGGGAGGAGGCACAGGCAGTCTGCTGGCCTCGCTGTCACTCAGGGGCACAGTCTCCAGAAGAGTCGCCCCTGTGTCTCTGTAGGTGAAATTACCTTTGAAGGGGAATATAGAAATCGCCACTGTCACCACTGCCTCGACCACCTGGTTTCTGAAGGCACAAGGTGGGAGTACAGCTGGCTCGGGGTGGGGGCAAGCTTGGGAAATCTGATCAGACCGGTGGGCAAGCAGGGAGATGCAGGTTTGCAGAAAGGTACACAGGTGGGCAACCATGGGCTGATTCAATTTTATGGAGAAGGGACCATTTAGTTTGGAGATAGTACTATATAGATATGTGAGTTTATGTAAATAGCTAGAATAAAATAAGTTATTGTACTGTAAGTAGTAAGTATGTGGGAGAAAGAGGAAACTCAGTCACATGGGTTTGTGTATGTATGTGATTTCATTTGTGTAAATTCTAAACAGTTCCAACTCTGAGACACTCTTCCTGTCAAAACTTCTCCATTTGTTTACATACACACTTACTATGTCAAATACACAGCATATTGTACCTGGAAGGGCGAAGATCAGCTTTCTGGCACCGTCAGTGTCTAAGGTGGCAAACGTAGTAGGCAAACTAAAATAGAAATAGAATAAAGCATCAATATTCTACATCCCAGCAACAACCAAAATAATTTTTCAACAGATGCCCTAACCAGCAAATACAGTATACAGTTGTTATCACAAATTATTACAAGGCTCTCTGGAATACTTGATTCTGATTGGTCAATCACAGCATTAAGCAGTCAGATGTTTCCAAATATTTTTGGCAATCATCTGGGCAATGCTTTATATCGAACCGCTCATCTGGGTAAGTCAACCTGGTGCCATTTTCATGTCTATTGTGTCACTGCAAACATAACTGCCACCATCTTGGATCTCGATTAACAATTGTAGTAAAAATGATCTCGGAGGACTTCAGTTTTAATACTGTAATATTGTTGCAGGAGTATTACAAGATATATAAAGTCATTGGTTGCTTGTATGAGTGGTCATTTATACAGAATTACCCAAATGAGCCATGATTATTCAAGAATGAGAGATCAATGCCACAACTGACCAATCAGACTCAAGAATTCCAGAGAGCCATGTCGAAATAAGTAGTAGTAGTATATTTTTATTTAATGCCATGTCAGCATCTACATGGCAAAAACAATTAAAAAAATACAAGTATAACAAATACAATAAAAACCAGCAAACAAACAAACACAAGTTATATTACACAAGATTTTTTACATTAACATATGATAAAAACATGATTTTTCTGGCAAAATTATACTAAATAACTCTTTAAGTGAGTTCCCATGTCAAAATAAAAGCTACAACTAATGTAACATTGTATCTAATTTAAACCAGTGCTGTAATTGTTAACTAAAAATATTATTTGTTGATTGAAATAAAGCCGGAATAAAATATAAATATTAGATGAAATGTTGTACTAAAAAAAACGAAAACTTAAATAAAAATAAAGCTAAATGGAAATATAAAAAATAATCAAACTGAAAAAAGCACATAACAAAATGACTAAAATGAATGGAAACAATATATTCATAAATACTATAATAGTAAATAAATAATACTTAATTAGCACTGAAACACAATATTATTTAGCTCTTTTTCTGTCTACATTGCTTTGTCTTAGTTGATTCAGATGCCTATGTTCACAAACCATCTGATGCATATTGCACACAAAAAAGGCAAAAGCTGAAGAAAAATGATTGGTGTGGTACTTCGCAACTTTTAGGAGTCAGGGTGCACTGGTTCTTATTAGAGCCCGACCGATATGGGTTTTTTGGGGCCGATACCGATATTAGGGAGTAAAAAAAGGCCGATATCGATATATCGGCCGGTATTCTTTGTGTATATTATAGTACGGTACCAGTCAAAAGTTTGGACACTTTCCCATTCGTGTGTCCAAACATTTGACTGGTACTATGTATAGAATACAATATAAACATAAACAGAATATATATACATAAACACATTTTTTGCAATGATCACTCAAATGTGGTGATCAAACACTTATAATGACGTGACAAAGATATGTAATGATGGAGGCAGGGCATTTAACAATTTAACAATAAACTTTATTATCCAAAATGAGTCTGACATCAGTGCACTGAACAGTTAAGTTGAAGTTTATTCAACTTTAATTCAATTCAATTCCAATCAACTTTATTCCGTTGAAGTTTATTTCACTTTGGAACATTCATTCATGGATTTGCGCTACTGCGGTAGCCCCCCGGGATCGCTAGATCGGTCGGCGCCGGACCGCGAATTTAACCACCCGTAACTCCCAAACCCCAACCCCGGGGGCTATCGACGCGGGGGTTGTCTCATTCGAAAGAGGGCTCGAGACATACACTCGATTCGCATTCGAGAGGGTTCCTTTGGTGCGGATTCGCCACGCCTTTACGGAGATATGGTCGTTCAAAGTTTCAATGGTTTTCCATAGACTTATAAAATAAGCTTTAAAGCGTTTCATCCAGGTCGCCAGTAGCAAACAATGGAGCACACTCTGCTGGACAAACTAAGTAATTACACCATTTCAAGCATTTTATCTGCATTATATGTTCTGTAAAAAAAAGTTCCTATTGGCGGCATATTCGCCGATACCGATATATCGGCGACAGGCTCATATCGGCCGATAATATCGGCTAAACGATATATCGGTCGGGCTCTAGTTCTTATCAATATTTTGGCGTTGCCAAAATTTTTTAGCTCATGGCATTAAATCCTTGAAAGAGTTTTAAGGCAGTTTGTTCACAAGAAAACAAGATATCCTCAATCCAACAACCAAACCCCTCCCCTCACGCCAGTGCCGCCCCATCCAGACTTTACGCAAGTCTGGCTCTGCATGACTAAGACTGCTTCTCTCACTCACCCCGGCTTCATAAACACTCGACCGAAGTGGATCTGGGCATGGAGATCTATATCCAGCACTTGCTTCAGATAGTCCTGAAAAAAAACAAAACATAAACAGACGTTAACGTGAGTGTTTGCGTTTCTCCTCTCATGTAGGACAACAACATCTATCCACGTCTGGTGAAGTGAAACATCAGGTAATTAAAGAGCTTTAATTAATAGGGCGGAAAATCAAGAGCAAGAGCCAGTCAGTGCACTGCTGCCTGGGCAAAGACCCAAAATAAAAGGTCAGGTTAACAAATGCTGCTTTGTGACAAGAAACAAGCAGAAACACTAGATGGCAGTAAAACATACAGTGACCTGCGGCATAAGCTCTTAAAAGAGTTTTGCTCTGAGATCTCGTGCTCTCTGGGTAAACCAATGGAATCCTCTTCTTGACATGAAGCAGACTGATCTGTGAGGCCACATTCCTGTATTGAGAAGCGTGGACATTTCAAGCATGTGACCTTTCATTAGACTACAGCACTTCCAGACAACTCCAATCAACTGACCTTCTCACCCATGGACACGCCCCCGGAGGTGATGATGACGTCAGCACGACTAATGCCATCATTCAGGGCGTTCAACAGGTCGTCTGGGCTGCAGGGGGTTACAAAACATGATCATGCCAAATTACATGCAATTTTTTTCTTTGTTAAATCCATTCCTCGCATATTGGTGAAGTAAAAAGTGTAAAATGTTTGCTTACACTATTACTAGTGCAAATGTGATGTAGGCAATAACCTGAATTTAATATTTGTATTCATTAATGACACATTCAATTGATTAAAAGTAAAGGCTTTTACATTTTTACAAAAGATTTCTATTTCAAATAAATGCTGTTCTTTTAAACCTTCTATTTTTCCTGAGGGAAAAAATGGGGTTATGCCTGCTGAAAATTCAGCTTTGCTATCACAGGAATAAATACATTTTAAAATATATTAAAAGAGAAAATGGTTATTTTCAATTACAATAATATTTCACAATATTTCTGTTTTTATTGTATTTTTCATCAAATAAAAGCAGCTTTGGTGAGCGCAAGAGACATCGTTTTAAAAACATAATTTTTTTTACAAGCCTTAAACTTTTGAACATGATATTATATTATATTATAATTAAATCATATAAATAATAATTTCAAAATACACAATATATTGTTATATTTTATATTTATACTAAATGTATTAAATTATTTACTCAATATTTCATATCCACAAAATGAGGACAGCACAAAAAAGCATTACTGACTTCAAGAAAAACTTTACAGTTTCTTCATATGAATGCAGAAAAAGAAACAATACATATTTATTTTGTTTTTAATTACTTATCAATGACTTATTATTATTAACCTACTTGTATTTGCTTCTTATAACATGTTTTAAACATGCTCCTTATAAATATTATACATCTATACATCCCTACAGTATATGTATGCACATACAAGGTGGAAAAATACTTCAGAGCTCTGCAAGGAAATGCTGTCTTTCAGTAAATTCTGCTGAGACGTTGTATGATCTTGTATCGATTCTAATGTAAGAGCTGGAGTTTCAGAGGAGTGCTGAGGTTGGAAAGATTTAGACATGTGCAGAGCTGACTCTGTGTGTGTGACTGTGTGTGTGACTGTGTGTGTGTGTGTGTGTGTGTGTGTGTGTGTGTGGGTGGTAAAGAGGGGATGCTGACTTGTCTCCGACGATGCCGAGGTTGATGGTGGGATAGCCGTGTTCCTGAATGGTGGCCAACAGTGTGGATCGGTTACTGTCCCTGATCTTGCCTGGGTGAAGGTCATCCTCAGGGTTTAACAACTGCATACATAAACACGGTCAAACATGTTTTAAATTACCGTGGGCAAAAGAAAGTAACAAAGCGAGACACAAACAAGTCCTACCTCATTGCCGGTGGACATGACTGCTACAACTGGGAATTTCTGCACCTCCACCTCTGTGACTCCTACAGTGGCCAGGAGGCCGATCTCAGATGGACCCATGTGAGTGGCCTTAGCCAGCACACACTCTCCACGCTTGATATCATGTCCTATAGGCCTGTGTATAACAATACCAGTTTTATATTACTCAAAGAGACTGATTGTTTCCTTCGTGAAAAAGGTGAAATGTGGAATAATGCTTATTCACATCAACAAGTATCAAAACATGATACATCTACATACACTTTTGTACACTGAATACATTTATTTAGCAAGGATACATTGAATTGAATACAAGTGACAGTACGAAACACTAAAATTCACTGAAAAATATTAAGCAGCACAACTGTTTTCAAAATTGATAATAATAAGAAATATTTAGATTATATTTTATATATTTTAATATTTAGATTAGCATTAAATCAGCATATTAGAATGATTTCTGAAGGATCGTGTGACACTGAAGACTGAAGTAATGGCTGTTGAAAATTTAGCATTGCCATCACAGAAATAAATTACATTTTAAAATATATTAAAATAGAAAACAGTTATTTTGAATTATAATCATATTCACAATACTAAATTGTATTTTTGATAAGATAAAAAGCAGTCCTGGTAAGCATAAGATACTTTTTTCAAAATCATCCATAAAATCCTTTTCAAAGCAAATTCTCCTTTAAACATGGATGCGAATACCTTTGGCAAAATGGACTTGTATGAATGGATATTGAGATGAAAAAACAGTAATGATAAAAAAGAAATATTTGGTCAGTTATACAAAGTCTCTGGCATTTTTTGTGGAAATAAACTTCAGTCCCACTCACCTGATATCCTGTCCTGGACGAGCCTGAACCAGGATCCTCACCTCCAACTCCTCTGTACCCTGTAATTCATAACCAACCAGATTGAGACATGTACAAACAACCTGTATGAACAACACTGGACTTTCATTTATGTGAGAATTTGCTAGAAACTGTTTAGAAGTATGTTTGTGTGGTGTGTTTCTAGTTTTCCTCCATATTAAATGAAGATAATACAAAAATACTATTGCAAAAAATACTGCTGTATAATTTATTGTAATTATGCATTCATAAAATCCTTGTGTTGTTCTCCAAATTTTAAATATATTTGGTTGTTTTTCTTTTTAATTGTCTTACATTTGAACTATGCATGTTTCACTTTTGGGACAAAATACATGAAAAATGTCCCCAGAAAGCTAGCTAAAAGCAAAACAAAATTGGGAGCATCCTCAAAGGTAGAAATTATTTATAAAACATACTTTGTTCTTTTAGGGATGTGGTTGATTTCAAGTTAAAGTTATTTCAATCATGACAACTCTCGGAACATTTTAGCATGGTGATGGATATGACAATGTTAATGTATTTGGCCTTGGCGGAACAGATCTGCTACGCTGCTGCTGAATTGCTGCTGCTGTTGGTTATTGCGGTAGTTGTAGATTATTGCTGCTGCTGCAAGCAAGTACAGGAACTTGCTACTGCCAATGCATATGGCGATACGGTGCCATGAGTATTTAAGACATACTGCTGCTGCACAAATAGCATATAAAATAACCCCGTAGCAGATCTATACAGGTGGAGCTGGGGAAGGTGGAGGGTTTCATAGAACTCTGAAAGCGCGCTGCAGGAATCTCAAGTGAATGCTAGCCAGCCATATAAATGCAAGGCAGTAAGCTCATTGGCTGCATATGCAGCATGAACCAATCAGCTTGTGCCAAGTCGTTTAACGCTCTGAATATCATCAGTTACGTTGACACCCCGTCAGAATGCGCCATCTAGAGTTTCATGACTGAACTATATATTTATTAGAAATCTGAGTTTTTTTGTTGTTGTTGTTGTTTTTATTAAAATAGTTTTAAATAGTTTGCAGTTAAGAATATGATACACTTACGTCTTCAGACTCTCGTAGCAGTTCTGTGTCTTCTACTTGCACTACAGCGTCTGCACCACATGGGATAGGAGCACCTGTCGTCACCCTCATCACTTGGCCTGGCATAACTGTGAGAGTGGGCTACAGAGAGAAAAAGATCTTTAACCACTGTATCAGAAATCTGTGGTGTGAAAGCAAAACTACACTAATGTTGCATCCTTCTGATACTGGGTTGAATTGTTACTTTTCCTACAAAATGTCATATACATACATATACATTATTATTCGTACCAGAGTCATATGGCATTAGCTGAGAAAACAACAGAATGACCCATGACTCGAACGCAAACACACTCTCCAGACAGAGCGCTGTATGGACGTCAGCCATGAGCACTGGAGTGCTGGCCTGCACTTTGCTGCACACAGCCCACGGGGATCTCCCCCTCTTTCTCTGTGTGTGTGTGTGTGTGTGTGTGTGTGTGTGA